TGATAAACCTAGAAATAATTCGCTTCTCAAAATCTCCTCTTGCACCTCTTACACAGTTGGACCACAGATATTTGCTCATGGTTATTCTCCCTGGGTGGTGGATTTTCTGTTTAGCTACAGTCTTGAATACAGTCTTGAGATTGGCAAGACCTTTCTAAAAAGTTGTATTTTCCAGAGTGGCCATTTTCCCTGCCAGCAGTTCATTTATACACTCCTTGGACTGACAGCCTCCTAGGCAGCTCATGTGGTTTCAATGGTTTTGGTATTAACATCTCCTGCATTTTGAATGTTTGGGGTTAAGGTTTAAATATGCAGAGCAAATAACCTGCAAACTATATTAATGTGTCTAATAAAACTGTAAAGAAAATACTTCAAATGCCTTGACATTTGTGTAGGTACAGAAAGACTCCATCATGGCTCTGATTCATCCTAGCAGAATTACCCATTCTGCCAATTACTGCCAATATAATAATTATTCTCTCTTGAGATTTTTTTTATTGGGTATTTTGCTAGTTTGAGGAACTCGGAAAGCCATTGGGTAAGTTAGATTTGTACATGTGCTTCTAAAATCAAATTTTTGCTTTAAGGGAGAAAAAACTCCAAACTGCTACGTGCCCTGTTTCCCTGATTTCTGGCTGATTCAAGACAAATCGTGCTTGGAAAATATTATTTCTTTATTTTTTTCTTCTTAAGATTGCAGGCAGACCAGCATCTGGCCTGTAAGTTGCACTTACTAACTCTTCTTTGCAAACCTTGATTTATACAAACTTCTCATTTCTGAGAAACTTGCTGAAGTAGCTTTTCCAGAAGTGCTACACTGACAGAAAATAACAGATCTCACATGGACAATGGACAGAGAGCATCTTGAAAAAAAAAATAAATACCCTATTGAAATATTTTATGAAAGATTTTACTGCAAGTTCCATTTTTCAATTTAATAGCTATGTGACACACATTTGACACAACTCTCCTGCAATATAGAATGTCTTCCCATCTTTATTTTCTGGGAAATATGTCTCTTCAGTGGAGTCATATTTAAGACAGATGCGACGGAACCTGGATTTGTATGGTTTTGCACAAATAAGGATTTTTTTAAAACCGCCTAAAATTCTTTCCATTAAACATCGCTTGGTGTGAGTTATTCTCCCTAAGAATGGAAGAAGTTTCTTTTTCAGAGGTGAAATTTAAAGCAGTCTCCTGCAGAGAGGGATTTGCATCCTTCGAGGAAGCTCAGCAGCAGTGTCTGGGCACAGTTTGGAGGAGAGGCCTTGAATCCACAGCAGTGGGTTGGAATTTGGCTCTTTGCTTCTGTGTCTGCTTCTAGATGTCAGTGTTATATTTGGCTGAGTTGCCTGCAGGTCTGAGGGCTTCCACTGCCTGTGAGTTGGCTTGTTCAGCCTGAAATTCTCTGTCTTCCACTGCAGTGAATTGGCAAAGCACAGGGAGAGAATCTGTCAATGTACCTAAAGAAACAACAAATGGCTGTTGGCTGCATTATCATTTTCAGTGCCGTAATCTTAATATTGTCCTCAGAATTTTTTTTTTTTTTCACAGCAGAAAATGAGAGGATCACAGAATGGTTTGGGTTGGGATGGATTTTAAAGCCCATCCAGTGCCATGGACAGGGACATCTTCCACTATCCCAGGCTGCTTCAAGCCTTGTGCAGCTTGGCCTTGGGCACTTCCAGGGATCCAGGGGCAGCCACAGCCTCACTATTCCAGGACATACTATCACTGAATAGTGGGAACAGCATCTGTAGCTGTGGGGAATCCAGGCCAGAAGCAGGACAAAGTTGTGCAGCAGCAGGACTCATCTGGGATGAGAACACCCCTCTGTCCTTTGAGGAAAATTCTCTATTTTTGTCTTAAGCTCAGAAAGTTGTCATCTCATTAAATTTATCTCCTTCTCTAGGCTCTGTAATCTCTATTTCAGATGTTGCTTTGCAATATCTGCTGGGTTAGACCAGAATCACAGAAATGTTAAGGCTGGAAAAGACCTTTAGTGTCATCCAGTCCAAACATCAGCCCAGCATCACCCTGTTCACCACTAAACCATGTCCTCAAGTGCCTCATCCACTCGTTTTTTGAACAATCCCAGGGATGGCTGAACACTCCCACCACTGCCCTGGGTATCCTGTTCCATTGCTTTATAACCATTTCCATTAAGGGATTTTTCCTAATATCCAATCTAAACCTCAGAACTCCTCATTTTCTTACAGCCAAGGCAGCCAATGTAAAATATCTCCTCACACATCACACTGGGTGGGATCAGACCAGACAGGTTTTGGTGGGAGTTGGGATAACACCATCTGTTAGACAAGCTCCTCTACGGCATTGTGCATAGCAAGTGTTCATTGGGTGTGTGCAGGATCTACTAAATCTGTTCACTAATATTTTTTTGTGTGTTTGAAGTTCTTGAGATCTTTTATTTTTAGCCAGGAATGAATGTGATTGCATTTTTTTTAAACGGCCTTTAAAAAAGTTGAGTAAACAACATATGTAATTACTCTGTAGGGAAATATGGCTTAATTAAATCATGAAGTCATTCTATTAGCATATGCACCTGCTGCTTATGTGGTTCATTTCTTCCAGAAATAACCAAAATAATGAATAGAAATTGTTTTATAGTTCATCTACCTGGAATATGTGCTTCAGTGGTTTGTCTTGTCCTCCTGCAGGTGATTCATTGCTGGCCTACTCACGCTGCAGGATGGAGCTCTGCTGGGGCTTGTGAAAGGACACAAGTTTGTCTTGGCTCTGTAAAATCCCCCCAAGCCAACACAGTTTTCACAGCCATTATCTGTGGGGGAAACCTCAGGTGGGACACAAAGAATGTGCAGTTTCCTCATGCACTGTGCCATCATCAAAAAGAACTTGTGGAAAGAGCTTGCAAATGTTTGGGAAATTTGTGGCTGCTGTATAGGACTAAGTTTTCTTATTATTTAGGGTATGCCATGTATTCTGATTTGCTTAATTATAAAGTCCCAGGCAAAACACTCCTGAAGAATTGGATGTGATGGAATCACAGAATATTCTGTGTTGGTAGCACCCACAAGGATCATCAAGTCCAGCTGTTAAATGAACGGTCCTCCCAGGGACTGAACCCACAACCTTGGTGTAACCATCATCCTGCTCTAAAATATGTCCCAAAATGTGCCCAGATTGACCTGAAAAAGAATTAGACTTGTTAACTTGTAACATGATGGGATTTAATTCATATCACCTGCTCTTGGATATTTTAATTTTGAAGTGGATGCAAAATACACAGAAGGGAGGAGGCAAGAGCTAAAGGAGTTTTCCTTTCTTCCAAGCTATGTAGGGCTGGGGGTATTTGCTTTACCTGTCGCTCTGTGTCCCCAGCAGAGCCTTAAATAAAGTGTGAGAGGCAGGGTCAGTATGAAGTGATCCCTCCCCGGTGCTTCTTTCCAGTTTCTGGCCAGCAGAGCTGTGGAGGTTCTGGGGCTGGGGTGCATTTAGAGTTCTGGATTTGATAGCTGTCAGTATTTCATCCTTCTCCAGTGAGCTGCACGAACTTTTCACACAAGGCCCTGTTCTTTATTTATTGCTTTATCTTTGTTTTTTATACCAAAGTGCTTGGAGTACTGTAGAGAGTTTGATTCAGTTGTTTCCTACAGGTTTATACAAGAAAACAAAGCCCAGTGTGTGTGAGCTCCTGGTTCTAGTAAATACTGTTCATATAGTATTTATGAGGTTTGTGTATTTTTATAGGGATTTTATTTTGTATTTCCTAGGTTTGCAAAGCCACCAGTATTCCAAAGTCACCCTCAAAATTTACATTATCCATTTGCATTATTGCATTCCTTCTCTCACCTCTTCCATTTAGGAAATGGAGCTCTATCCTGTTGTGATTGCAGCAGTGACAGCCAGCAATGAAGAATAAATTGTTTACCTTCTGTGTGGGGTGTGATGTAGGTGTGTTGCAGACATCATTAGGGAATCTATCTAAGCAGCAAATGTAAAAGTGACTCATATCCCAGCAGCCACCCCAGAATGAGATTAATTCTTTATTCCTGGCCTACAGTAAAGGCCACAGAACATATTAGTTCCCTAATCATTTCAGGCTGTCTTTAACATGTCCTTGCTTTGTAAAACCCTACACAGCTGTGGTGTGGATTCCTCAAATATTGGCTCATTCCAAGTGTTCTGTTAAAACAACTGAAGTTTTCTGAAACACAGAAGATTTCCTTTTTATACTGGTCATAGGTACAGAGCCATTTCTGTGGATTCATCTCTAGAATTCGGCTTTCAGCACAGCTCAGGCAAAAGCACAGACCTGACCTTTTAATAAGAGTGTTCTGAGTCCTGTGGTTTTTTTGGTTTTTTTTTTTTTTTTCCCCTCTTAACCTGGTGCTCCAAAGTATATGGATTAAAAGTTGGAATGTTGGCATGGATTGTTTCTTTGTGGAACATGCACTTTGCCATTGGGGTGTAAGAAAATTCCAGAGTGTCTGGAGATGTTTGTAGCTTGTGCAGTGTTGGTGGGAGATACTAAAAGGGCAGTCTAAGGGTTTGTGAATTGTGTATTCAAATCAATCAATTCCTAGATACTGCTTAAGCTCTCTGAAAAGCTATTTCAGGTTAGATTTTCTTCATGAGCAGCACACCAATTCCACTCAAATACATGTTAGCTGATAAAAAATTCAATCTGCAAGGGAGGAGAGAACATTGAAAATGCCCTTCCATTAAAAATGGAGGACTTAGTTTTGAGAAAGTTAAGAAATATATGCTCTTTAGAAAATGAAGGTCTTAGTTTTCCAGTGCATATATTTAGCACAACCTCATCTATTTACCAATCAATTTATTGTTGACTGCTACAAAAGCCAGATTAAATGACTTGAGTCACGCTTTACATGGCTCCATACCACAGAAACTGAGCACAATCTTCCTTTAGAGTTGTCATTGCACACTGCATAACCTTCCTCATCTGTTTTTCAGACAGAAAAAAATTTCTTTTTTTTCTGCTCCACATTTCTAGATGAGAAGAAGGAATCTCTAACAGCTGCTGGAATTTTGGTCAGTCCATGACTGGAATGAGTTAGTGCCTGCAGTGAAACCCTCACATTTCAGGTAGCCCCTGAAGCCCACAGGGAAGTAGGACCCTATGTCTGATCCCTCTTCCTCTGCCCCTCTTCAGCACCTGAGCTGTGCTGGAGGGAGGAAGCCAACGCTTCCAGGAGAGCAGGAGATGGGCGTTCCTTGGGGACTGCCATAAATCTGTCACATCTGCTGCCAAAATGGGTTAGAGCCTCTGAAGGTGTGTCTGAAACTTGTGCAGCTCAGGCTGCAGCCTGGATGAGAAGAAAATACAATGGGAAGCTGTGTAAATGAGATGCTGGGGGAAAACATCTTCTAATTCAGATGTTTTCAAATCATGTTTTAGCACATGATTTGACACCCCCCCCCCCCCCCATTACCCTGAGATGAACAAATACATAGAGGAATACTTTATTCTAAAAATGTTCTCCAAACTATACTTTATTCAGTTAGGAGGTCTCACAGTTATCTCAGCTTATAGTTTAGGAAAACATAATGTCTTCCCAGTGCCAGAGGGCAGGACTGGATAGGATATTGGGATTTAGGAATTATTCCCTGGCAGGGTGGACAGGCCCTGGCACAGGGTGCCCAGAGCAGCTGTGGCTGCCCCTGGATCCCTGGCAGTGCCCAAGGCCAGGCTGGACAGGGCTTGGAGAAACCTGGGACAGTGGAAGGTGTCCCTGACATGGCAGGGGGACACTGGATGAGCTTTAAGATCTTTTCCAACCAAACCATTCCAGGATTGTGTGGTATTTAACAGATGTGTTTGCCTTACACTGAGGACCCTCTAAGTCCAAGCGTTTATGTACACAAGTGAGTTAAATGATTCCGTTTTGAAAGGCTGAGGCATGTCATTATTTCACTGTTGTGTGGGCTAAATAAGGGCAATAATTTTTCTAAAAAGGAATGGAATGAAATAAAATTTATTATGCAAATTTGGAGTATTCCAACACTGAAGAAGTGTCATGAACAAAAATAATTGAGGGAGCAAAGTGGGACAAGGAGGAATATGTTTAGTGGGAAGAAAATAACTACTAAACTTTTTAATAGTACACTTTGGTCATCAGCAAAGTGCAGCTCAAGATGATGCTTTACTGCTGAAGTATCAGAAAAAGCTCTAACTTGATTTTAAATACCTATGCAGGAGCTTTCCTATGCTTTGTGTTCTTTTGTACTGGCCTTGGTGCTCAGGCTAGTGGGTCTGATGGGACCTGGGTGATCCAAAACAGGTTTGTGTCGTGCTCTCTGCTTTTCCATGAGCTCCATCCCAAATTCCATTGCTTGCCATGGCTGGGCAGCATGGATGAGCAGATGTGAGTGGTGTCTCCCTCCCCAGCTGACATCCCATTGCTGGAGATGTCAGAGGTAGGGAATGTCAGCATTCAGCATCCTGCCTGCTGCTGACACCCCAGAGAAGGTGATGGCCAGGCTGACATCTGCATGTTTGCTCACCGGCCAAGTCACTCATTTATTCAGAGGAAAAAGGGGAATTCTTTAAAGCTACAAGTCATGCTGCAGCTTACAATTTTCTTTCTTGTCTACAATTTTCTTTCTTGCCTACAATTTTTCACCAAAATGGCTTTAATGGAAAGTTTCACAAACTGGGTTGGGATGGGTCCCTCTTTTGCTGTACCCTCCATATATTTGGACCCTTTCCTGGAGGAAGAAAAATGATCCTGTCTGTCAGACATAGCAAATCTGCTTGGATATCCTGAAATAGGGGGGGATTGCAGTGTAACCATGCAGAAATAAGGCATGGAGCCTAAACTTCCATTTGGGTCTTCTGAAATTTCCTCAGAGAGAAAAATCTGACTGAGCTTCAGCAGGAAGTGCATCTTGCCTCTGTTAGGAATATTGGGATGTAAGTGACCTCCAGAAGTAGATTCCCTTCATTAGCTTTTGCAGGAGATTTAATGATTTTCTCGAGGTAGATGTCTAAACCTTACCTGGTAGTGGTCAGTGAATTCAATCTACCTTTAAGCCCCCTGTAACTGAGATCTCTACCTGTACGTGAAGACTACACTGCAGTGACTGTTCATTAATTTTTTCTGAGGTTCTCAGGCGTTATGACCATGGCAGCTTATAGAAATGTTTTCTTTCAGGTCAGGTAACTTGACAAATGCCTGCTGGAAGTGTTTCTCGTGATGGATACTACTGCAAGAAAACACAGGGACAAGTATGGGTTCTGAAAGAACATGGCAACAGAATGAGGTAAGAGATCATCACTTGTGATATGTGGTTATGATGGATTACTAAACAGATCCATGCAGCTCTGTACATGTTAAATTCTGTCAAATGTCTTCTGTTGGTGTGACTGTGACTACACTGGAAACAACAGTGTCAAAGGAGGGAATGTTCAAACAGACACTTAAATGGCAGAGATCATTGCTGTGCCAGAGGGAGGAAGGAGACGTTCACTGTGCAAACACTGGGCATCCACACAGGGAAAAAATCTGCAGCAGTGACTCTCCCCCTACCCTTGGCTTTGGCAGATGGGATGCTCTGAGACAGAGCAAGGTGCCTGTGCCAGGCTGCTGAACCTACTGAGTCAAGAAATGTACTCTGGTTTGTGTGATCTTATGTCCTCTAAATGCACCTTTTCCTCCACCAGGAGGAGGCTGAATCATCAGCCTGGAGCCACCCCCAAGAATTCACTCCCCAGACACAAGGGATTTTGGTTGTACTCAACATTTACTGCCTGTTGTGAGGTCTCTCTGGGCAGTCCTTGCCTTCAGCCTTTGGGTCCTCAGCAGACTTGCCTTTTTTAAGGTCTCTTGCTGCATTTGATTTTATTCTTTGTCATTAGAAATTGCAAGTTCAATCTGAAATGTTTTGGGTGGCACATTTATTCTTTTATCAAAGACCAATTTTCTTAATGTATTTTCAGTCCCATTGTATGGCTAGTTCTTACCTGTGACTTTAGATATTTGGGGGCATAGACCAATTCTGCACAGCCCTTTTCATCTGCAGCATACCTGAACAATGTGAAAATGTGTGCTTTTTCTCCAGCCCCTGCTACTTTTTTCATTTCACTCTCTGTAAAAAACAGAGGAAGAACAGCTTTTCCCTCTCCTTGCTTAAGAAAGCTGCCCAAGGCAAGGCTTTAATGTTAAAACTGGCCTGATTGATATACAGGTTAAATGCTTTATAATATTTGCAAGAATAAATTGTTATCATGCTCCAAATGGCATTAATTGGAGCTGTACAATGCTGAAATGTTTCTTTCTTTCTCCTCTCTGTGCTGTGCTCTGGAAGCTCCAGTAGAAGAAAAGTTACCTTTAATACCTTTTTGTCATGATGTTGCTTTCTTTCCAAAGCAGAGATTGGGTGGTTTGTCCGGGTATTTTCATCCTCTTGTGTGCATATCTCAGCTTTGGTGAGACAGGGGATGTGCTGAACTAAAAACTGGGAGCCAGGCAGTTTCTGTCAGTGCTGTGACAAGTTTCATAACACCAGGGAGAAACTTGGCTGTGAATTTTTCTTTTCAAGCCACACCTCTATTAATTTGCCATGCAGGAAGCGGGGGGTATTTTATAGTCATTTATAGACTGAATTTTCCCATGCTGGAGACTGCTTTGTGGAATTTGCTGTTAAACTGCCTGGAATAGAAGGCCACTGCTGCTATTTGGGAAAGCTTTAAACTCCAGCCCGTGGTGTTACAAAAGTGCAGGATTCCCTGTGGCTTTGTCAGCCTCTCATCCAAAGAGGGAGCCCAGCACATTTTGCCCCAGTGCCACTGGAAGTGAAAAGCAATGCACAGGCAGTAAGAGCAGCAGGATGTTATTCCTGGAGCAGAGATCCAAGCTCACCTCTGGTAATTGGTTTAAGTTTCTTCCAGTTATTTCAGCTGAGCAAGAGGCTGCGGGGAAGTGTGTTCTCTGCATGCAGGGAACTTCAAAACCTGCAACAAGGCTGAGCATTACATCTTAGTTCAGATAATTCACCCAACCTTCTCACCTTTTTTACTCAAACATAAGTATTTCAAGCCTTCTGTCAATATTAGGTGACTCAGTACTGAATATGCTGTCAAATTTTACCTTACTGTAGGTATTCAGGGATCCCAGACATGCCTGAAATTATTTGAAGCTAACAGGTAACTATGATTCACCCATTAAGCCTGCATTTCTCTGAAGTTAATTCATAGAAAAAAAATATTCTTTCTCTTTGAAAAGGGAAAGCTCTGATAGTGATTTATGGCACATTGACTTTGCAGGTGTGTAGAGTCAGTGTTATCCTTTATTGAGGTAAATGTTGGATTAGGGACACGTTTCTTCTTGGTGATGGGAATCCCTGATTTGTTTTATGGGCTGTAATGTAGTTGCATACCAAGTGCTCTCCAGAGGTGACGTGCTCTGTGTGACAATGCTCTGAAAGTGCTTTCCACACCTGATCTTGGCACGGCTTGCCTTGCTGGATGTGTGAGGGAGGCCATTTGTTCCAGGGCTGTGTTGTGAAGCACAAGTGACAGGAGATAAACCCCTGGCCAGCCCCAGTGTCACTTCCAGCCAAGGGATGAAATCTGTTAGGCAAAGGTTCCTGCCTGGAGCTGGGTCTGCACTGCAGCTCCCAGCACTGGGGGCTGCACCCTCCGTGCCCCCTGCCAGCTGGGAAAGCCCTTGCAGCTGCACACAGACTCCTGTGGGACAAGGAAGCTGGGCTCACACCAAGGCTACACCTGAGTCAAACTTTGGAGAGGTTGCTCAGGTTGTTTCCTCCCTGTCCTGTTATCCAGCATCACCTCACTGATGGATGAAGTGTCAGGAATGTGTTTCTGCAGGTGCCTGCAGAGGCTCTGCTGCTGCTTCCTCCTTTTTTTTTTTTTTTTTTTTTTTTTTGTTTTTTTTTTTTTGATATTCTGGGGTTTTCTGGCCATAAGAGTTTTTTGGAAGCAATCAATTATTTGATTATTTGCATTTCTCAAAGCATCTGCTGGACAGGTTTTCTTCCATACCCAATTCTGGTATCTCAGCTGAATGTTGCTGTGTTAACAGGCCTGTTTTGAAGGCAAATACAGAAACTGATTTGGTTCCAGTTGGAAAAAATCCTCAGTAATGCCTTGGCTGGAGCTTAAAGATGATGCTGATTTTTCTGCTGGGTTGGATTCTCTGGGGGCTGTGGTCTGGAGGGTTCCATGAGGGAAAAGAGAAAGGCAATTCTGCCTTTCCTTCTTTGCATGCAGATCTTTGCTTCAGAGAGAGACAAACACCTACAGGCTCCTCTGCAAAAGGGGCCACCTGCCCACTGCCACTGGGGGAGAAAACATGCAGCTGTTGAAGGATCTCAAATTAATTGGACCCAATGGCTTTAATCACAGAGGATCTCTTCAAGTGGTGAAACAATCCCAGATCCATCAGAAAGTGTATTTGAAATCTTAACTAGGCTGAGGGGGAGCCAGTAAACATTGCTAGTCCAGTGATTGACAAAAAAGGAGGGAATGGCTGAGCAGGAGAAAAATTACTGGCTCAAATAAAGTATTTTTGAGCAGCTCCAAGATAATTAACCTCTGACAAGTGGTCAATAATAGGCAGCATAGTTTTGTCCAAATTAAATTCAGTTTAAATCACAGCAATCAGATTTCTCCAGTGCTAATGCCAAAAGTCTTCTTAGAGGGAAAGGAAAGAGAGTCCTAGGGTTAGATTCCAGCAGAGAGGAAGCTTTTGGCAGCATTGCATTTGGCATTCCCATAAGGAGAACAGGTAAATTAATATAAGCTGGATGCAGCTGTCTGTGGTTCTCTTCTAAAATGCAAGGCATCTGCATAATCCTGATTCCTTCGAGGCCTGGTCTTGAGACATTTCCTAGAATGCTGAAATAGCTAACAAGTTACACAGTTGCAGATAATACTGGTTTTAAGGGGATACAAGATTAAAATGCTTGATTTTAACAGAAAATACAAGATTAAAAGGAAGATGGTGAGTTTGAAAAGCCATCTGGCCCTCGGTGAGAGTAGGATTCAGGGTGAAGTTAAGCTTGTACCCCTGGGCAGCAGCAATCATTGCTCAGAGCCAGGCCAGGGGAAACCCAAGAAACGCCAAAAGCACAGAGGAGGGTTTGGAGGGTGTGATGAACCCTAAAGCAGCAGAGGCAGCTTTTCCCAGGAGAGACAGGACTGAGGATGCTCAGCTAGGACAGCAGGCAGCACAACGAGGGACACGACTCCCACTGTTGCTCTTGGGGTTGGGAGGCAGCAAAAACAGGACATGGGGGAAAAAGCAGGGGAGAAGGAGTGGAGGTTTGGAAGAGGGGATTGTTTCATCAGGAGCAGGCTGACAAAGGCCATTCTCAGGCATCAAAGAGGTCCAAGCTCACTATAAATGATGTCCCCCCATTGTTGGAATCTGAGGTATTGATGATTCTGAGATTGTAGAAAGTCTCTGTCTTTCAGCCCTGCTGCCAAAGAAGAAGCCATAATTCGTCTGTGCTGGTTTCAAGGTTGTTTATTCTGTTTATCTCTAACATGTTCTGCTGCCCTGCCGCAGCTCTGTCCTGCAGGGCAGCGTGTGGGGCTCTGCCCTCAGTGGGATGGTACAAACATTAAATACCAGAAACTACCTGTGCTATATTTACAATAACGTGCCAATATCTGTCACCTACGTTGAACAGTGTGTCCCCAGCCTAAACCAACAGAAAAATGCCAACACTGCAGTGAAACATGGAGGGCATGAAGAAGGAGAAAAAGGACAAGACACACCCAATTTCCTCCATCTTGTCCCCTTTGAACTCCTAATCTAGAATCCTAAAATTTTACTTTTGCACCCGTGCCACACTTAATTATTACTTGTATCAAACACTCAGAGCATTTAATTCATCCTATAAAGTTGAAAACTCTTTTCCATGGACAGAGATCACAGACAGTGTCTCTGGGGGCTCTGTACAGGGGGGTTCCTGACCTCCTGCAAGGGTTCCAGACCTGCCAGGGCAGCCAGAGGGAAGCTCTGGATTCCCACACCCCATCTCAGTGCCCACAGCACATCAGATTCCTGATCTAGGGTGTCAAACACACCAAATGGGATGCAAGCTGGCCATGGGGAAGAACCTTTGAGTGGCAAGGAGGGATGTCACACTGGAGGAAGCTTGCAAGGTGGTTGGGGAGGTCTTCATTACTCGCTGAGAAGAAAAGTTTCCAACTTTTAGCAAGAGGAGTGACAACATCCCCCAGGAGTCCTTTTGATTGATGTCAGTCAGCTTTTAGAGCAGGGAAAGAGGTCAAG